CAGAGAGGTATCATATAGTGCAGTAAACCTTACATAACATACAGTTATTTCACAAATATTTGAGTATCTACATGTGTAGGCACTGTTCTAACACTGAAGACACAGCAGTCAATAAGACAGATAACAATTCCACATTTATATTTAGCGTGAGACAGATAATAAACATATATAACTAGGGTATCATAAATGATGGGTGCTATGGAGAAAAATAAGCGAGGAAAAAGAAATAGAAAGTTCTAGGAGGAGGCAAAACAGTTTTAAATAAGATGGTCCAGAAAGGCCTCCCTGGAAGACCCGAGAAAATGCTTGGAGAAGCTGAGGGAATGAGTCATGTCATCTGGAGGAAGTGCGTTCCAGGCAGGACTAATAGCAGACGTGCTGAGACACGAGTGTGCCTGGCCAGGAACAGCAAAGAAGCCAGAGTGCCCGGAGCAGACTAAGCCAGGGGAAGTGTGATAGGAGGTGAGGTCGGAGAGGTTAAGGTCAGGAGTTGTGCACGTTGCATGGCACTTTTTCACAGTTTGAGGGTGGTGGCCTTTTCTCTAAGGGAGGAGACAAACCACTGGACACTTGAGTAGAGGAATGAGATGAAGTATTTAACTTTTCTATCTTTGGGTTCTTGTAGTTTGATTTGTTGTTCAAAATAGTTGTGGTTTTCTTTGTATTTAAGCAAAGAGAGGTTTGGGCAATTTGCTAAGTTTCTTAACTCTGTGGGTTGATGTTTTCATCAACATTGAAGATTTCTTGGCCATTACCTTTTCAAAGATCACTTCTGCCCCATTCTCTGTCTCTCTTCTCTTCCTGGGTCTCCAATTACACATAAATTAGACGTTTTTCATGGTGTCCCACATGTATCTTATACTCAGCTCTGTTTTTTCCATCTCTTTTTATTTCTGTGCTTCAGTTTGGGCATTTTTTACTGACCTATTTTTGAATTAGTTCATTCTGTCTGTCTCTGTGTCCAATCTACTGTTAAAACCACCCAGTGAAATCTTAATTTCAAGGATTGTATTTTCCAATTTTAGAAAGTCTATTTAATGATTTTGAAAGATTCCAGCTCTCTGTCAAAATCCATAATCCTTTCAACTATTTTACCATCTTTTTCTCTTAACTCATTAGTCTTCGTTATTTTAAAGGAGAAAATGGCAACTCTACAATTAAACTTTGTTGATAATAGAACTTAAAATATTAACTTTTGTCGACTTAAGTCTTATGGTTAAAATCCTTCAGTGAAATTGTGGTATAGGGACATGAAGGTCTACCCTCACTTGCCTCACAGAGTCCCCACTGTGGATACAGGACCTCTTAAATCACTGGCTGATTTTTAAAATGGATTTCTTGAATGCTCTAACACTACCTATTTTATATCCAAAATAACTTGCCTTGTTTAATCCTTTCCAGCACTTCTGACCTTTAGAACCATTGAGTAAAATATTTTGATCAAAACTATTTTGGGCAGCCCAGAAACATAGAATTTCCAATCAGAGGGAACCCTTAGAGAATCATCTCCAATGCTCTCTTTTTATAAATAATGAAATGGAAGCAGAGAGGGGTTGAGCGGCTTGCTCAGCCCCGCTAAGGGAGCAAGACACAACCAGAACTGGAAACCAAGCCTCCTTTCTCACAACAGCTTTTTTTCTCTGTAGTGGCTGGTGGAGAAGTGAGTGACCCTGTAGCTCTGGCTCCCAAATCTCTTAAGTTTCTGGTCAAGCCTAATTATGGGGAAATTAATATATTATATTCCCATATTCATCTGTCATTTTAGAAAGCCTCTGGCTCAAGGTTACAAAATACAGACATTGATAGCACCACCTCTGTCTGCCAGTTTTGGCCATTAGCCCTCCATAAACACCAGGTGCTCAATAAAATGCTTATTGACCTGACTTGAACCAGTGCATGTGAATTAAGTGTCAGGCCAGTAGGATGAAAAAGTTCAAACTGATCTATCTTAACAGCGTTCTGTTCCTTTAAAAAGTAACTTCCTTTCTTCATTTCAGGAAATCCATGTTGATCACTAACTCTGTAACAGACATTATGCCAGGGGCTGGAAAGAAAGCAGAAATCAGAGCACACATGCTCTAAACCCTTTTGGGGTTGACATCAGACATGGTTTGGCGTGGTTTGCACTCTTACTGCTCATTCTTTTCTGTCCATGGTAAATAGTGGTGTCTCTAAAACTAAAGATTAGACTCTTGGAAAGGAAGCTAAGACAGGCACCATGATCCAGGGAGCCAGGCGGGAAAGAGCTGCTCCCAAGAGGAAGAAGAGGCTGATGGGAAGAGTGAACAAAAAGGCTCAGAGATGGGGGTAGAGAGCAGGGGTGTGCATAGTATGATTGGCTACCCCTGATGCAGATTGCCAGCCAAGGATGTGAAATTAGGGAGGCCCAGGTCTGGCAATGCCAGGCATGTTCAAGGAAGACAGAGTTGGAGACAGACTCTGTCTCAGGGAAAAGGATTTGCTAGTTCTTTGATGCCAGTAGGAACTCTTGGCTGAGGGCTAGCCAAAGTTCCTCTTTCAGTTCAGAGCAATGGACAAAATGAATTTTTTGCATCTAGTATGGAGCCCAAAATATTATATGTAAATTCTCACAGCATAGATATTCTTTTGTCTCTTTTTTCCATCTTCTAGCTCTTCTACAGAACACTCCTCCTTCCTCTATATGTATATTTTTATATATTTATAAATGTATGCATGTAAACATAGATTATGTATTTACATATTTATGTATTTATAACTATGTGTTGAGCACCTACTATGGGAACTTTAGGGAATACATTGTTTAATTCTTACATCAATTCCTTGAGGCAGATTTGATTAACCCTATTTTATAGATGAGGAAACTGAGGCTAACAAGGAGAGCTAATTCACCCAAAGTCACACAGCTACCCAGTCGTAAAGCTAACATTAGATCCCAGGACTGGTTTAAAAGCCTTTGATTTCTTACTGTATTTCCATTTCTTCATTCAGTTAATAAGCTTATGTTTCTGGTCAGGCAGGCATAGATTTGGAAAAGAGATGTGTTTGTGGATCAATCAGATTGAAAGTGCTCCTGTAAGTTGACTAATGTATTTTTATTTGTATCTAAGGCAATTAATTTATATGAAATAATGCATCCTTGTCCCTTCAGAAATGTTTTACCAATTGATCTTGAATAAAGCCTCTGATTCCTAGTATGTTTTCTTTTTATCCTGCCTTCTAAAAAATTTTTTTTAGTGAAGGCTTGGAAAAGTGATTTTTTAAATGGGACTGAAAGTCAAGAGTCTCAAGTACTTTTCTTAGTTCATCTCATAATCCACTGTGAGATTTCATGCCAGTCTTCCCATTTCTTAGTCTCTTCACATGCGGCTCAGTCATCGCAGGGTGCCAACACTTCTGCTCACAGGCAGCCTGAGATTCAAAAATAACATTTAGGCCTAGAAGACCTACTTCATCAATTATAATAATTTTAAGTGTTTAAGAATAATGGCCTGAAAACCACAATGGTTCTCATCATTATGGGCCTAACACAAATACAGATGTATCTTCAGAAAAGATAGTTCCTAGAAAGGTTTCTATTTCTTTTTGAGTAAAATAAATCACCCTTTCTTAATAGCCTAGAGGCTAATTTCATCTAGGCATAGAAGGACTGCTTCCCATTTAGTTGTCTATATTCACTTACTCCATTTTTTTGATGTTTTGAGGGCTCCAGCTCTGTGTCAGTTACTCTAAGGGCTGCAACAGTGAACAAGACCAGTGTTCTGCCCACCCTGGAGGAGCCTCCAGTCTGAGGCCCTTAAGGCCCCATGGGCAGCAGAACACCGCCCCCGCCACATGCTCCCAGGTCCCTGTCCCAGCTGTTCGGCTGGAAGAAAGCATCCACTCATCCACTGCATGCTTAGGAATGAACCAAGCCTTTCTCTGCGCCCAGAGCCATTCTGGAAAAACTAATCATCAGCATTTATTCAGCATTCACCATGCACCAAGACTGAACTAAGTACTTTATCTACATTATCTCATTGATTCATCAGATCGGCCTGATGTGGCCAATGGTATTATTACAGGTAAGGGAAGTAAGGTGCAGAGATATCCCTTTCCCCATGGTGACCCAGCTAGACAGTGGCAGAACCATGATTTGCATCTGACAGTCTTTCTTCAGGGTCCATGCCAGCCTCTGTTTATAGGCCCAGGTTGGGAAACAACTCCCAGAATGTTAACTGCACATACTAAGGGCTTCTCTGTAGGGTTTGTAAAAAGGTAAGAGAATAAGAACTTTTTATTTATCGCCTAGGATGGATGTTGCTGGGCTAAGTTTCAAAGCAGATACCTTTCCCTCACTCTGAAAATTGACACTGGCCAGCAAATAAACCATGAGAATAAATCATGAGAAAGCTGAGCCCATACTCCAGTCTCATGGAATCATCCCAGTTCCAATGTAAAATTGTATAAGCTATGTTCCAAAGAATATTGGTCCAAGATTTCTTAATAAGTGTCCTGCCAGAAAGGATTCCATGGGAATAACAAATTGGGGAAACCACATTCTCCTCTCTGTAAGATTCATAATAGTTATGAGCATATTATATAAAATCCTGCAGTTGCCCCTTACTGTCAGCTCTACCCAAATAACTTCATTTAATCTAGTTTCCCAAATACGTGTTATCATCTTAAGAAACCGGTATCTCCAGCAGCAAGTTGGAGAAACTCTGCTCTAGAAAGAGGCTTAGCTTCAGAGGAAGATTTAGACTGCTAATGATAAGCGTATTTTAGTCCAAGTTAAAATGTATAAAAAGTCACTTTTATTAGAAGCCTTAAAAGATGTGTAAATACCTATAGGACCCTTGAAAGTAGCTCCTAAGCAGGCGCACATGCTAACCTAGTGTGGTGGTAAATTGTTATGTTAGTGGATTAGGAAATAAAGGCATTGGTTTGGGGTGTCAGGATGAAAGCCATATGGAGTGAGATCCTCTGAGCCAATGGGGCCTAGTTGAACCATCCATAGTTCTCTCTTAGCCAGGCGAATAGCACACTTGATGTTTCAGTGCCCCCTGGGGGTCATCAAGATATCATGCAGGAGTCACAACATTAAATGGATGGTGCAGGATTATGAATACTGAAGGCAAATAGGAAAAAGGCAGAGAGAGATCTATAGAGTGAGATCTAAAAAAATAAATAAAATAGTCTAGAAAACTCTGAAACAAAAAGTGTATATCTTTCTGGCCTCTAGGACATTGGTAATATGCCAAGAAGCCTAAAAAAATCTACCGATATGGTCCAAAAGAAAGATGACACATTCACTTAAAGGATAACACAAAGAAATAAATAGTGCTAAAAACAATGGGTCTGATGAAGCAGTGAGAGGGCTGTTAAGTAGTTGATGACTGGGGTGTCATTAGCAAAGTCTCCATGTTTTTTGGGATTTGTACTTTGGGGAATGATTATAGTCAAGAAACGCTTTGGCTCCAGGCCTGTGAGGGATGCCTCATAGTGATGGAGGCTGCATTCTTTGGACAGGAGGTAGAAAAATATAATGAGGATTATTTCCCTTACAAAGCACCTAAGATAAGCAGAGCATTTTCTCTATTCATGTTAAGATATACCCGTGGTATATCTGTTGGTGTTTTCACTCTGTGTTTTCACTTACTCTGATTGACAGTTTCAATCTCATTCTGAGGAGGCTGTTTGCTGAAACACTTTGAACATTAATAACACACATTCTGTTGTCCATTTTCAGTCCTAATCTATGAACCAGAAAATCCTGAGGCCAAGGAGTTTTTGTCACTTATTGAAGAATTGTTGCAGATGGGTAAATTTAAAGATTGATATTTCTTATTTTTTATAGAACTATGAGTAGTTACTATTTAAAAATCCATTATCCCAAGAGATTGGTAAAGTACATCTTCAGGAAGTGGTTAAGAAAAGGCTAAATGGTTGGATGGATGGTTTAGTGAAACCAGCTCATCCTCTGTGGATGGTCAAGATGACTCCCTTTTCTCTGTGGGGTGGAACTGCCCAAGCAAAGCAGGTTCCCCGGGCACAAGGTATGGGGCACCAACAGAGTCTTCAGAGGGGACAAAATGTGCTTCTTGTCCCAGATACTAAAGGGATTATCCCACAGTCCCAAGCAAAGCCAGTAACCTCTAAATTACCCTAAATCTCACTTATTCTAACTCTGTCTAAGTAAGAATTAAGTTGACAATAGTAAAAAGTATTTTTATAGACCTATGTTTTAAATTTACTTTAAACATCTTTGTGCCAGTAAGAATATGTTCTTCTTTGCACTACAGCTTTGACCCTACATATAGTTAGCAAAATTCAGCTCAGTTCTCACATTCCAAAAATATATATTTCATAGTGGAGAGGGAAACAAGAGAATTGTGATTTTTCAGGGTGGAAATATTAAGAAACATTTTAAGCAATTCTCTTCCTTTCTGTGACAGAGAAAGCTCAGAATCTTGAGGAAGATGATGAAGAGAGCGAAGAAGACAGTAGTGCTGCGAGTGAAGGAGAGAGCAGTGAGGAGCCAAGTGAAGAAAGCTCTGATGAATGTGAAGATGGGTGATGACAGTTGCTTACTAGAGTTTAACCTTCATGTATGTTCATTACCGTATACTTTGGAAATATAAAGAGAAGAGCTGCATTGCAGTCTAATTGTTCTTTATTTGGTACAGAGTTCTTTTAATTTATCCATATTGGCTTGAGCTCCTTCTTAATATTTAGATTTTAGCTCAGTGTGAGCTACTCAGAGAGGGAAGTAGTTATTGGAAACACTTACACAGCACTGTGTGCCAGGTGTTGTTCTCTACATGTGAATTTATTGAATCCAACAAACACATGAGGTAAGCACTATTATTTTCATTAGACAGATGAGAAAACTGAGGCACAGAGAGTGTAAACATTTTAACCTGTATCATATACCTCTTGCTTGGTAGAGCCTGGATTTATATACACATTATGTTTCCCAGATCCATCCTCTCAGCCCCTCCCACATGCACCATGTTAGGCGCTTTTGTATCATTTGTTTCATGTTCTCTATAGTATGTATCAGTACCAGAAGTTCTTATTTAACTATCTGTTCTTTTTTTTTTCATCTTTACAGCCTAGACTTTATTTGTCAACATTTAAAACTTTTTTAATTTTTATTTTATTTTTATTTATTATTTTTAAACTTAACACGTTTATTATTAAATATCTGTTCTTTTTATCTTCCCCCTTCTTATCAGAAAATGTAACCTCCATGAAGCAGGGCTTTGTCATTTTCACAGTTGTGTCCCTAGCAACTGGACAAGGGCCTGGCACATGATGAGCTGTGTAGACCAAGTGAATGAATGAAGAGAAAGTCCATGACAATGTTTATGACTTTTCATAAAACATTTATAGGACTTTATCACACTTTTACGTATTATTCTACATTATCTTGCTGATTCTGTATCTGTGATGAATTTCTGCCACCTTCAAATCAGATTGTAAGCCAACTGAGGTAAAAATAAGAAAAGTATTCCTAAGGAATTTGTTTGATTGCACCCATCTGGTTTGGGGGTAGGCATTTTGAATTGTAATTCGTCTGTCAGCACAGTGTCATGTCACATCCAGAACGCTTGCCGGCACAGTTTATTCTTTGGGTATTTTGTAGCCTGCTCACATTCAGAGAAAGAAATTCTGCTGCACCGTATTACAGGAGTGTCTGAAAGAAATGGAGACAGGTATGTATAATCATCTCGCTTACATAAACAGTCAGATAGCACTGAGGGCTGGCTGGCAGAGACCACAGGAACTGCTTGTTCTTTTCATTTGTGGGATGTCTGGTATGCCTCCCCATCAAAGGAAAACCACCATGTGTCAAGCTGATGACACTGACCTGATTTTGGAGCCTGTCCCCCTCCCATAAGAAATTCATTAAATACCTTGAAACTGATACTGCAGACTAAATTAGTTACACTCATGAGATTTTAGTTTTCTTTTAAAGGAAAAGGAAAGTTCTGAGGAAGAAACTCTCTGAGTAAAAAGCCACGATATCACAGGCCATGTTACAGCTAAATCTAAGAATTTTCAAGGTTTGATCATACAGGATAATCCATGTCTATGGATAAGTACCTCTTTGTTCATATTCTTCGTCCTACTTGCACTCCTTAATGTAATTTAGGATGTTGGCATAACCTGACATAGCATGTGTATCTGTATAGAGTAGCTAAATATAATATCTAATAACTAAACATAATCTGCAAAGTATTTTTATATTATTTAACTCACTAGCTTCTCACAGTAGTCCTAAGAGCATGCTGTTATATTATCCCCATCAGTTATACAAATTAAATTTGGGATGCTCGTCATATCCAAAGGTAAATTTTAATTGGGGTGAATTCAGATGAGGAAATTAAGACTATGAGATGCAAGTTATGTCCCTGTATGAGAGATCTAGTGAATCTTGAACCCAGTGTTCCATACTGTTTCACACATAGCTAAACTCTAGAAACTATTTAATAAATCAGCAAATAAGTTGTATCTATGTGGACAGTTCAGTTCCAGACCTGTGTCTTCTTCAGAGCTTTATAGCACGTTACAGTGAAAGAATCCAAATATTTAACAACATGTGAACCTGTGAGAATGTCCACTCAGTGGGCTTAAGATGGGAACCCAATGAAATACTTTCACTTACTTATTCAATCAATATTTACTGAAGTCCTTCTTTGTATACTGTGGGGAACAAATCCCAGTCAGCACTGGCATAGTTGAAACTCAGGCTGATAAACTCTGCCATTGTGGAAGTCCAGGGTGCTGGAGGGGCACCTAACTTGAGCCAGGCGTCCAGGGAAAGCATTCAGAGGGAAGTGAAGTCTCAGCTGGGAAGGCAGAATGAGTGGGAATTAGCTACAAGGAGAAACAGTGGGGGTGAGCGTTCTATCAGTAGATACATTCTGAGTCCAGAAAGTAAGTAAAAGTGGATTGAAAAATGAAAATGAAGCAGTTGGAGCAGAGACAGATGAAGCTGTGGTGATCAAGGGGCTGGAGAATGGAGGGCCTTACAAGCCACAAGAAAGCCTGAACTTTATCCTTAAAAGTAATAGGAGACCACTGAGGGATTTTAAGAAAAATGATGGTATTTTAGAAAGAGCATTCTAACAGCCAGGTAGAAAAATGTGTTCTCAAACTACAGGTCATGATCCATTGGTCAGTTATGAGATCACTGTAGGGAGTCACAGATAGCTAGAGTTTTTCTTTTATTATTATTAAATGCATAGAATAGAAAATAGCACGCATTGCAGAAGAGTATATGGGAATTACGGTTTTGTGAAACTTTTGGTTCAAGAGTGTATGTGTGTCCTAGATACTGATGTGAAATGTATCTGTCCCAATGGATCTCCATTTAAAAATATGTAAATGAAAGTGTAGTGGACAGACTGTAGTGGAACACAAAACTCCACTGTTACATTATTCTAGCAGTTCACAGCTGTAGCCTAAAAGAGGGGTGAGCAGAGAGATGCAGTGGGATGGAGGAGTTATTTTAGAGGTAGGAAGAACTGACAGGAATTGGTGATGCATTAAATGTCGGGGAGAGATAGAGGTCAAGGATGACTTCCAGTTGGGTGTATGATGGTAGTGCTATCCCCTGAAAGAAAAGGAACATAGAAAAGCAGATTTGCTGGAGAAGCTGGCTTTTCACTTACACAGGTTGAACATAGGAAGTGTATTATTTTCTACACTGTAACAAATTACAGCAAACTTAGTGACTTAAAACAATACAAATTATCTTACAATTCTAGAGGTCCAAAATCCAAAATGGGTCTCACTTGGGAAAGATCAAGGTATCAGCAAGGCTACATTCTTTCTGGAGGCCCTGGGTGAGAATCCATTTCCTTGCCTTTTCCAAATTCTAGAACCCGCTCGCATTCCTTGGCTCAGGAACTCATTCCTCCATCTTCAAAACCAGCGGTGTCTGACTGAGACCTTCTCACATTGCCATCTCTCTAGTTCTCTGTCCCTTGTGATTTTTGTTAAATTAGCATTTGTTAAGTAGACCACAAGGGAAATTGAAATAGAAAAGTTTGTTACTTCACGAGTCCTGGAGGAGGTACATGGTGCACCTTTGAGGGGCCACGTGCAGTTGGCGACAGGGGAAGGTCAAGATGCAGGCAGAGACCTTGGGTGCAAGTCTTTATTAGGGTCTGCGAGTGGAGTGCTTTTGGGGTTCCTAGGCTAAGACCAGATTGGTCAATTCAAATCAAAAAGCAGAGTTTTGGTAACCTCCATGGGGGTCTTATCTAAGGGGTGCACGGTGGAAGGAGTTGGGAAGGAGGAGAGACTGTTTATCACTGGGGCAATGGGAAAGTCATATCAGAAATTCACAGTTGTGAATCTGTGCGGGCTGCTGTCTAGTACATGGGTTGTTAATCTAGGCATGTACTTGAGGGAGAGGCTAGTGGCAGTTAGATGCTCAACTGCTTTTGTGCTAAACAGCGCCCAACCTTTCCTTCACACTCTCTACTCCCTATACATTCTTTACTCAGAATAGCTTGTCCTTTAACCAGAAGCTGTATTCCAGGGAGGTGGTCATTGGCTGATAGCCTCAGGAGAATGAACAGACCCTCTGGAGTTTCTGTGTGATGTTAGGTGGATTCATCAAGATTCAGAAGAATACAGCACCTCAGAAAACACCCTGATTGTTGTCCCCTTTTCTGTTCCATTGGTTATTCTATAAAACCTCGGAACACCAAGCCCAAGATGGATTCACAATCTCTAAGGCATTAGCCTGCTGTGACCCCCCCACCCCTTGCCTGGCAAAGCTTTATGCTGTCCTTTTCTAATTCTCCCAAAACTCTATCCCCAAGATTCAATTTGGCTATCAGGGTTCAGAGGCCAGTTTTTTGGCAACAATCCTGGGCAGCGAACGCCAAGAGCTTCTGGGTCCCTTCTTGGTTCTCCCCAACTGTGAGAACTGTGAGAACTGTGAGAGGGTGTATTTGTCAGCCACTACCACAAAAAAGATGCATCACACGTTACCTCAAAATTCATGGGTTTGCAGTTTAGTTCCCTTCCTGTGTCCAAAAGCACATCACTTGCCTGAGCCCAGTATCAAGGTTAGTGTGTGGGGTGGGGGCTTGGGGAGGGGGAGTATAGAGTATACATTTCTGATCTAGAGAAGAAAAAGAATAAAGATTTACCAATTCATCTCTCCATGCTCTGATGCTTGTTCGTGGCTTATCCCTGGCTATGTAGTTGAGACAATGTGCTGGTAGCCCCAGTGAAAAGATATCAATAATCATTTAATATTTAGGGACTTCTTGAGATTACAGGTTGTTGCAGATCTAAAGGATCCCTGACTCACCCAAAGGCAGAGAAAACAGGACCGCAGCCTCGCAAGTGAGAGTAAGATAGAACGAACTCCAGATAACTAGTTGCTTTGAGAAAACACACAGCACTGATTTGCCGCTGACACAGGTGAGAAACTTGGGTATGAATACGTTCCAGTGAGCTCTTCTACATTTTAGATAAGAAGGAAACTGAGCTAGAGCAGCAATGATGAATCCCTTCTGTTAAGGTTCTGCTTTCTCCCCTGAGTAACTGGCCAGGATTAGGGAAGGAATCTGATCTGAAATAGAAGTTTAAGTTATGAGATTCTCCACAACTAAGTCAGAACCTTCCAGAATCTCTCACAAACAGCAG